AGGAAACTAGATTCTCCATGGTCACAATACTTCATTAATAAAGTCGGGAATCGCAGTCAACTCACAGACTTACTGTGACATACTTTTACTTTGATTCAATTACAGTAGCTACACAAAGTTCCTAGGGTGGGTGTGGCAAACAGACAATTACCATGTCCCTGCTGAAAGACCAACTGGAGAGACAAGGTATCCAAAGGCATTATCAAAAAAAATTCACATGATCTGAAAAAAATCCCTTTTACTTTTATATAAAAACCTTGCAGCCCTACTGAAACTTTCATTATCAGTGGAAACTGGGTGGAGAAAAGCTCTATTGCGATTTGAATAGAAGCCGAACGCGATGAAAGACATTACTGGTCTCTTGACGAGTGGATTTCCGCTTCCCTGGTTACCATAATTACTTTAACTCTCAGGGCATACAGGTTTAGTTACAAAACGTCTCCCTGAATTAGAGTTATGTGACTGAACCACAATCAGCTGCCAGTCTCCCACCCCAATTTTAAGTCATGCGTTGTTAGCGGATTGTTCTCTGTGTGTGTGATAGAAGGGCACGCGGGCGGTCATTCGGACAGAGAACACTGGAGTGGGACATCCCTCCTGCAGGGGACACATCTGAGGAGTGGAAGAGGCTGATGCTGAAGCTTACGTTGAGAATGTACCAGGAGCCGCAGTACCTGAGCTGCTGGTAGGCATCAGGTAACAGGTGTAGACTGTAGGACTTTAAATTCACATTACTTTTCTTTTGGCCACGAGAAATCACCAATGAGAAGGAAACTCTTTAATTAAGGATAATTAAGTATAATCTGTATTATGTAAGCATTACTTTTTTGTGGGCGTTTTGCTTGAAGCCTTTTTTCCTGTGTCTAGCACAGGTGCACCACTAATATGACAGTAATACCTCATTTATGAGCAATTGAAGGCAAACTCAAAGTTATACACAATTACACATAAGAGAAGCAAAAGGATGGTGGAAAATATTGCACAAACAAATCAACCGTGAAACAAAGAGAAGAGAAAATAAAAATAAAAGCTTTAGTGAAAAGACAGGTCTTTTGCTGAAAATGTTGATGCTTGCAGGGTCTGTAATGGATCTGGGCAGTGTGTCCCCCAGATGTGAGGTTTTTCACAAGAATGCTCCACTGCCCACTGTGTTGCGCCCGATCATTGTCACAGGAAGAGTGTCTGAACCAGCAGATCTCCGACTAAGAGCTGGACTATACTCATGTAATAGCTCGAGCTGGACCATTTACAGCCTAATACCTGAGCAGCAGAAAACCTCCAAGTCCACCTTAATTTTCACATTGAAATCCATAGTTTACAGAGGGCAGGAGTTATGTGCCCTCGCAAAGTAATTTTAGAAAGCAAAGGAATACCATTATGTATTAAAATTTCTGCATCAGATAGGGAGAGATAGGGTGTAAACTAAGCAAAGCTAAGCACAAGCATTTACCCTTCTGACATTGATAACACGCCCTTCATGTCATAAACATGTGAATGAACAAGCGCTTCATGATCATACAACACCAAGATTTCTATCCTTCACCAAAAGGTTTGATATCAGCACTAACATCATCATCAGAAATACAAAAGTCACCAACTTCATGAAGGTGATATTGGGGACTATGATATAATCTCAGTCTTTCACAGTTAAGCTTATGAAAGTACAGTTGCATCTATTTCTTAATATCAAACACCTGCAATGTGCAGAAATCACATCAATATGTTTGATCTGGACTGCAAATAACTGAGTGTCATCAGCATAGCAGTGAATAATCTGGCAGAGAGAAAACAAATATAAAGTAGTAAAGTTCATATAGTGTTGTGGAACTACCAGTGAAGGTGGACAGTCAAATTTAAAATAGCCAATATCGATGGATCAGCTCTTCAAAGAATTTCAAATAGGAGCCAAGTGAATTAAAGAAAACCCCAGTGATCTCTAGCTATTTTTCCATGTGATCTAGTAAGATGTTGGTATTGACAGTGTCAACAGCAACACTTCAATCGTGAAGGACAAAACATGAAGTATTATGGAATCAGAGTCCATCAGCAAATCATTAAGTCCCATAACAAGGTCCTAGAGCTGTAGAAGCCCCAAATGAACAGGATTAAAAAGCACCTTATGCAAGGTGAGATTGTAATTGAGCTGCCTTCACCTGTTCTTGGGTATTTGAGAGAAAAATAACAATTAGAAATAGGACAGTACTTCAGCGCTTTGGGTCCTGGTCAGGTTCTTTTCAAATTTTCCTTACATCAGGAACAAGACCCAATATCAAGTTTGATTAGGAGAGGAACACATGGATACACGGCTCAGAAGCTGGATTTGAGAAAGGGCTGAGGGATAGAGTCCCGCACAATGACAGAAGGTCTCAATTTAACTGCCAACTCAGTGACACGGGCAGCATCAAGAGCAGAGGAATGAGAGAACTCATCTGTGAAAGCAGGAAGAGGGCATGGCTGCCATGCTGGGTGGTGGCGAGATCATTGACATTAATACTATGTATTTCGCTGTGAAAGAATTGCATGCATACGTTGTTTTGTCCGTTGGACTGAGGGAAAGGGGAATTATTAGGGGGTTCATGCACTTTATAGTGGAGAAGGGAAGGTTTCTCAAAAAAAGACAGTGAAAGACTACTTTTAACAAAAAAAAAATTCTCATCTGGTACCCGTGGTATTTGTTGGGTAGCCATCTAGTACCTCAGTTTTCCCTGATCCTGAGTCACCTGCTGTGAAGCCAGTCACCTCTTATCTGTGGGGCCATGCTAAACAGGTTGTGTCTTATAACCTAGGCACATTTATTTCATGCCTACCATGGGCAAATTATCTGTTACCTTAATGTTAAAAAAGACCCTTTCGGCAAATTTGCATTTCCAGGTGGAATATCCATCCTTTAAGGAGACTGGCAGGAGCTCTTCAGCCCCTGGCATTCATCTATTGATACAAGAGAAAAAGATTTAAGATTGAAAGGTAGAAAAGAAAAAAAAAGCTTGAAAGCACTGACTGGCCTGAAAGCCGAACGGATCTACAGCAGGATCTTGCATTTTCATGTAACCGTAAGAACAAAAAGCATTTCTCAGAAAACAAAGCTAAACAGAATTTGCACAGTACAATTATGTATCGCTAAATGAAAACTTGTTTTTATATAAGCTGCATTCTCCAGGCAACAGCTGTTTGGAACAAAGATAGGTGTATTTGTTAACAGAAATTCTTTCACTTGTTCATCAGAAGCAACAATTGGCATAGGTAATCTTTCCGTAGGCTAACATAATCCCAAATAGTCACTTTGTATCACACATGATTCAATGCTTGCATATTTTATCTGAAACAAAAACCAAAAACTGAATTTTTTGTTGAACAATTTAGCATACAACCTGCATTTGAAATCGAGCTTTTACCTTTAGGAAAAGTAAGCCCTGTCGTCAGAGAAGTATCCGGCTGTTCAAAGCTGTCAAAGGGGAGGGGCATAATGGCGGTAATATCTCAATGACAAACTTACCTCAGAAGCACCTTAATCCAGGCACAGAGGTTCTTTCTGGTCTCGGACAGACGTGCTTTTGCACAGGACTGATGGAGAATCGGCGCTGTATGATACAGCTCCCAAACGGGAAAGCCGATCAAGTCATGAGAGCGAAGCTCGAGAACATGGGGAAAATACGTGGGGACAACAAGCAAGAAAACACAGTTCTTTGAACAAAACATCCAGGATATCTACTCAGCTAGATGTCTTAAGAAGGCCAGGTCCATTCTCAAGGACCCCAGTCATCCCAGTCACAAACTGTTTTCCCTCCTACCGTCCGGTAAACGGTACCGATGCATTTGGTCCAAGTCCAACAGACTATGGAACAGCTTCTACCTCCAGGCAATAAGACTGCTAAATAGCCAACCTGCAGCTCCTTAGCAAATCACCTGTAATGGCTACATGGACACACAATTCTCACTATATTCAGCATAACTGCTCTACATGTAAATATTGCCTACAGCACGGACACATAGCAGCTCTATTCATATTGAGCTTTATTCAATTTCTATTACATGTAACCTTATTTTCATAACCTTAATTTGGTGATTTCTGTGAGTTCGCAGAAAAGACATTTCATTGCCAGCAAATACTGCTGCACGCTGTATTGTTGTGAAGTTGATAAATAAACTTTGATTTGATTCAGAAATATCCAGTTTATCCAAGAGATTGCTCTGAATTACCCTTTGTAACCTAGGAGATGTTACACCAATTTTTCACAGCAGAGCCTTCCTTTATCCTTTTCTATGAATCGTGAAACAAAAGCACAGTAATTTCTTATTCCCTTTATTAAAACAGCCATTTTTGTTAACAATACATCTTTAAAATAACAACCCTGTGACTACAAGAGTAAATTAACTAGACAAACACTGGTACAATAAAATAAATTAAAGTAGATTATTACCTCATCTGCAGCTGTGAAGCAACTGTTTATTGCACTGAGGGGTTTAAAATATTTTTAAAAAGCTTCATGGTTTGTACCACAATGCAACATCTGGAGACAGTGAGGTACACAACAGGGTAGGGTTTTTGTTTGCATTTTGTAACAAAAAAGGTTCTTCAACAAGAAACTCCATAGTAATTACTCCTTGTGTGTACATACACACATATATATGCACAGAGACAGACACAAGGAGAGAGAGTTAGATTTTATAAAAGCAAATGTGAAATTAGCTTGACAATCTACAAACTCTAAAATAATAAAGACTCTAATGTCCTGATACAGGTAAAGATATACAGTATTTAGTGAACACATCAGAAATTATATTTAACAATATTGCAGCAAAATGTGAGTGTTTTTACAACTGAGAATTACAGCTGTTGTGAAAGGTTGACTCTATGTGCCACAGCCATCTGGAGCTTCCTCTCAGAGTTATGTTCGGTCTCAATTCTCACTGTAGTGAGATGGCAGGACTAATCAGTGCAAGTCCACACTGCACGGAATACTGCTTTATCATAGTGTAAGGAATGAATGCACAGGTCATGGTTAAGGCAAAATAATTTAATCCTACAACATATGAAATCTGCACATATGCAATTCAAAAAAAGTCATGCATTTGGAAACTCTGGGATGAAAACTATAATTCAAAATCTTTCACAATTGTCTTTAGCACTACTGAACTGTAACTCACAATGATATCTGAGGGCAATGAATGAATCTGCCTTTTAAATGATCTTCTCTGACAGAACAAGGCAGCCCAGGGGATAAATTTCTATGGCTCCAGCTGTTAATCAACTAAACAGTTCACTTTTGAGACTAGAGTGCAAGTCAGGAATAGATCCGGCACCATTAAATCATTTGACATTGTCAGCATCAACTATTTGCTGTATCTGCCAAGGCAGCTCCTATCAATTGCAAAGGACCTTTGTCCTCAATATCCCTGCCAGCTTGGATTTAATCTACTGCAAACTGTAGTGGCTTCACATGTTCTGTTTCTGAAATACACAATGTCTTTTATTATTCTGCCTGTGACATAACATGCATGTGCAATCTAAAGATTGTGTCTGTGATATCTGCATGTATACATAAACTCTTAACTGTGTGAATTTAGTGGAGGTAGAACTCAAGTTAATACACATACACTTAAAAATTAAGTTTGATCAGCTCCAAATCAGTATTATGACAGCTAAAGCAGATGTTAATGCCTATGGATGCAATACACAGTAACTTTTCTCTGATCTCAAAACAAGTAATTTTAATGCAGCTGACAAATATATGGCATATTTTCAGAGCAGAACCCTCTGCTGGTATATGCAATGTATTACATTCTGACACTGTTCATGAGAATGTAAAAGACCCATCTCACTCACCTTCTTTAAAGGATATGGAGACCAATGGGCTCTGAAGAGAGGTAGTCATTTTACGTAAAGTACACTGGTTTTTAAGAATCCAACAAAACTAACCTTTTCAGTCCTATTTTTTTCCCTATTTTCACTGGAAACTGACATCAGAAAGTAAACTGTAAAATGCACCTCTAGGTTTTAAACAGCATCACAGATGTTGTCAGAAAACCTAGATATGAATCTCAAAGCTTTCACAGGTTTTGAATTTAATTATACTGGAATTCCAATCAACAACCATTCACTTTGCATCTTGCAACCCAACTGTATCTAACCATTGTCACTGCCCTGATTTTTTCCAAAAATCTCACTGTGAAATCTGTGCTTTGTGCTACATCTCAATACACAGACTGCAGAAAAAACAAGAGCTGACAGATCTGTGATATCTGAATTTTTAAGAATCTAACCCCTACCTCCTGCAGTGGGTCTCCTGACTCCACTCACCGATTGAAAACGTACAGCAGTGGAACTTGTCAAAGAGTGGTTTGTATATCAATGGATTACCAAGACTGTGCAAAAACAGAAAGAGTGATATAAAAGAACTATTCGTATTACTGAAATAAAGTCTTCAGGTGGGGAAAGCAGGTTTAAGACATCCAGTTTTCTAAATGGCAAAAAATCATCTTTGCTCTTATAAATGCAATTTCATGATTCATTTAAAGGCAAAACTGAGAGCATCACAATAAACAGTCGCTTCCTCCTATGTACAGTATGGTTCACCACTAAAAACCCAGCAATTTATTTGCCACTGTGGCACCGTTATCATGTATGAATGATAACCTTCCGCATCACAATGAAACACACAGTGAGTGTGGGTGGACTTGAAAAACCTTCTTTTTTCCAAGTCATTTTCCTGTAAATAAAAAAAGTGCAAACAACTTGCCAGATCCCTTATGTCAAAGTGAAGAAGTTTACAGTGTTAGTGTTTTTTAAAAAACGTATTCCGTTATTCACCAAAGAAGCAATTAAGAAGTTATGAAGCATCGGTAACAACTATTTCCACACATTTACACATGATATAAATGAAAGTGTAAACATTGTATTTTCCAGGTAAGCTTCTGATGTCAAACACCTCTAAATTAAAAAACAAAACTGTTAACATTTTTAGCAATGCAAACCTAGAAAAACATTATATAGATATTATATATTATATAGATAAAATTCTGTTTAGTAAAAGGGATTTTCTCGGTCTACTTCTTGCATCTTCAATGTGCAATCCAGGGTAAAAGTTTGAAATTAAAAATCTGCAGTCCTTTTTTAAAATGTGCACTCTGCCATCCACTAAACAGAGACAAAGACATCCAAATACAGACGGTCATACGATTCCCTGAAGAACAGTATGAGGAGGAGGCTGAAAACACAGGACCCCGTCAGACACCAGTTCAGCCAAGACAAGTCTGAAAAACAAAGCAGCAAAGACGATATTTTGTAAAGAGCCTGTCTGTTCAAATGAGATAGCAGCTACAGCCTTTAAGGACATTTATCAGCCTTGCCATTTTAACAAATTCACTACATTTTAATCTCAAATACCATTAAAATACATTTATCACTCAATGCACATATGTTTTAAGAAAAACACAATACAGTATATAGATTTTGGATATTTTAATTTTTTGGATTATCTCATCATTCATGACTGACCATGACTACTTACGTGAGCACTACACTCATGTATCTCATTAATGAGAGATCAGCGGGCACAGGTAATGGGGTGAATTAATCTGCTGAATGTCAAGCTTTGTGACCATTAGGACAGAAAGCCAATGAATTAGGGTATTGTGGAGAGCACCCTGATGGACGTCAGCCAATGCAGCACAGACATGCAGAACAATACAGTAATTGTTGTGTTCAACACACCCATCGATTGATGGGTAGGTCCACATTACATGGGCTGGGCAGGAGTGTCTAGCAACTACAGAATCACGTCGGGTGATGGATGACAACCTCTCCACACAGTGCTTCACTGATCACATCCCGGGACATCACTAATAACCTTCACACCAGCGCTTACTGACCTGACAAGGTCCTGTTCCAGCAAGACAACACATATCCTTTGCTCACATAACCCTGTGCTTTCTTGCGGGATGAGAATGTGGCTGTTATGTTGTGGATGTCATACGCTCTGAGTTTTGAACATTTGTGGGATGAGCCGGGATGACAAACTTATGAACAGGCACATGCTTATCCTGACTCTAGGAGAGGAAAGAGACAGAATCCCACAAGACAGCATCTGCAACCTGGCGCAAAGCAAGCATTTCAGATTGAATTGTGTGAACTGCTTACAGTGGTAACTCATACACCTCTAGCCTGCGACTTCAAGGCAAACCTTTCAAAAGAAACAAACATCAGACAAGATGCTCTGATTACCTGCACGCTGAAAATCAACAAGTTAATTGTCTAAGGGAGAGGATGGAAGAGAATGAGTCCTTTACTTTCTAAACTATAATGGGAATAAAAAGAAATAATGACTTCTTTAATATGTCTTCATCTTGACTTGAGTCATGGACCAATAATCAAAGTCAATAAATTTCTAAGAAATATAATCAATTCATTAAGGAAGCATTGTGCTCTTTTTTACTCGGTAAAAGCCGCCTTTAATTGCTTTTTAGCTCTCTGTTTATTGTTGATCTGGCATGCGCTCATGTACATGAGGATGCATGCCAAATCTTTTCAAAATCCACTGGGAAGCACAATTAAAGAGAGCTGTATGGCTGGATCAATTTACTTAATAGGGGACTGGAATTCACAGTGGATTTATACTCTTCTCTGCCCACAGGCTCCTTACTGTATGTCTACTGGGATTTCACAGGAAACCTTTATCATAAACCTAACTCAGCCCGAGCTTTGTGCAAAAAGTGCAACTGCACTGTGCCCCTGGTTGCTTCAATCTCTCAAGCATTTCATTTTTTGCCCCCAGAGTGTTTGGAAAACACAGGGCCAGGTCCTGTTTGTTCCTGCACTTAACTGGGCGTAGGTTGGGCAGAATGATGAAAAGGGTTGCAGGTTCGAGCCCGAGTCATGTCACTAGCTGACTGTCACTGGGATTCCCCAAGCGCTGATGCTGGGTAGGGTGGGATCAGTCCGAAGGGGCTGTCTTGGCCTCACCCAGCACAGAGCCCCCTGTGGTCTCCCAGGTGCCTGCAGGGTCGCAGTGCTGCTGGCGAGAGATGCGCCTTCTCTCCGATCTCCAGTTGCAAACCTCTAGTATGTGGCTGCTGCATGCTCTGTGATTTGTCAAAAGTCTAGTGGCTTGAAGCTCCTCTACATTTCCTAATTTCCCCCCAGCATGCAGCTGCAGGCCTTGGCGCCGTGAGCCAGGAGACATGGAAACACACTTTTGTATTCCCACAAAACTGGCAAGACTGGGTAGCTATACAACAAAAATAATGAGGAAGTACGAAAAAAGCACAAATACTGTGCAAGGAGCAAACACCTGTGGTGATGAGATGTGTGAATAATGAATATATTGAGCTGCACTACAGAGGCTAATAAGGTCTATGCAAACCTTTATGTTCCCCATCCCAGTACAAAATATCCTTATAATCTCAGCAGACATTACTCTCACCCCCTGGACTGCTGGAAGAATATACTGTAGCTGCTGTTCACAAACACACAGAGAACAGCAAACTTCAGAAAAGCATATCAAGAATGAGCTTTTCCCTCCACAGATACTCAGGCTTTCATTACATCCCTGCTGCATTTTCTTCATGGCACACAGCCAGGTGTTTGCTGCAATCATATACCATAAATTTCTAATGAAACATTGTTATACCTTCAATGAAAGACTTGGGGAAAAAAAAGTCTATAATTTCCAGGGTAACATTCGATCCAAGCTGTCAAAGCCTGTCTGCTTAATCTACTTTAGACAGCATCTTTTCCACACATAATGTACATCGAGCTTAATCAGCCTCTGTGATCACCTGACAGACTCTGCCTTTAAGCATATGCGTAGGGTGCACAGGAACGGAAGCACGGCTACTAATGAGAAGAAGATAGCTCTTTTTTGCAAGGAATGCTGAATAAAAGAAATTCTGTTAGAAGATGTAGGTCTGATGAACTATAGTTTTTTTTGTACAGTATATAGCACTGCTATATACATATCAAAACATACATACAGTATATACCAATGGCAGTTTTAAAAATAGAACGTGTGACAATTACATTGTCTATTTTTTTAAAAGAAGTAAAAATCAAATCTTAAAGATTTAGATTGCTTTAGTAGTGCCACCTGGCAGGTCACCTCTTTCAATTTTGTTTCAGATATTGCATATCAGCGAAAGAAAGGTCAAAGGATAATGGAACATAGCTTTCAGTCCAGAGTTCCCCAACCCTGGTCCTGTAGAGCTAAGAGGTTTTTTTCAGCTTCACTGCAGAACATCTCTTAATTGCTTCGAAGAACAAAATATCGGCTTAAGTAGTAAAGATAAATATAATCTTTAGCCACTGATTCAAGACCTATAAAAACTGTCGAAATGGAGCCGTCCGAGATCTGAGCCAGGGAAATCTGCTTCACACAGCGTGTTGAAGCAGAGCTGTGGACTCAACACATTAGCATATTTCAGAATCATTAAAAACTGCAAGCCAGAATTGGAAAAACAAGCAAGGGACACTGGATTTCACTGTAAAAGAAGGGAACTCAGAAGTATATTGATGTAATCAATTATGTCAATAGGTAGCCATAAGAACTTTAAGTCTGCAGATGATAATTAAACATTCAAATCATAAAAAAGCCACATATCCAACAGAATGGATTCTAATACAGGCTAATTATTCTGATGCATGGACTGTCAAGCAAAAATTCCTAATTAGTTCCAAAGAAATTTTATTTTAGATTTCACAATCCAATAGTACAATAACTCAATAGCCTTTTTTGCACCAAGGGAACCAGGAATGCATGCAACATGCAACAGGGTTAGACGTGCAGAACATGGTTTTAGTGAATCGATTTGCAATGTTCTGCATACAATGAAATGTGATAAATCGAGGATTTATAATTCTACGATAATAGTTTTACACAATTGGCAAGAGAAGTGAATTCTTCCAAAGGGTCCTCAAATTCACATTTATAAATCACAGTCAGGGAGGACTTACATTATGATAGCTCAAAATCCAAACCATTAATCAATGTTCAATAATCCATTCAGCATTTTAAAGCGTGAAAGCGGGTTAATGGAGTTCTGTTTATCTTGGTGCTTTGTCTTTGCCGTATGTGTGCTCAAATCGCATCAATTTAAATGGAGATACTGACGTGACTGGGCATGGCGTTGCTACAGAATACTAAAAACCGTCTCGTGCGCCCCACGCCTGGGCGATCAGATTAAAAGTTTGCCCGCCATGCTGTCTGGGGAAATCCATAATTCATGGGGGCAAAAGTTGAAAAACAGCTCCAGTAGGAACTTGGGGTCGAAAGAACAACAAAAAAGAGCCTCACAAATGAGACTCCAAGGGTTTAAACCTTTTTAAGCATGCACTGTCCTGGCCAGGCTTCAATCCACAGCCATAGAGGAATCTCTCGGGTTTTATACTTCTCTAAATAGTCAAACGGCACATTACAAAAGGTAACGGAGTAAAATTTGTTCATAAAAAGAGGCAAAAAAGTTTGGGCAAAAACAATTAAAGAATCATTTACATAAATGAAATCCTAAATGCATTCAACAAATTGCTCGGTGCCTGTCCTTTAGAAAAACACAAATAATTATATCGGACAGATTATTTTGTACTTGTCACTTGCTGATTTACACAGTTGTCATCTGAAATTGTTCCAATGGTTTCCGTTATCTGCTATCAAACTGTGAATACGTTTTAAGAATCAATTGCAACTGTCTTTGGAGGCATTACCATTTAAATTTTCAATTTATTCAAAAAGCAGCCCAGAGTTATGAAAGGGCTGTCGTGAGAGTGACAATATAAAACCTACATTTTATTATGCCTGGAAGCTCATGGACAAAGCAGGCAGCCTGAATAAACACTATAAGTGTGGCTCCCAATGTGATGCATTTGGACACATAAATGCATTAAATCTGATATCTTTTATTACACCCTGGACAGCACTGTTAAGAGCTAATAATAGCAACTGCTCTCAAAGGTGATAAAATTATTTTAAGGTGAGAGGTGAGGTGTCTAAAGAAAATAGTTCATTGCTGCAATTAATGTTAATTGTCCTCAGCTCCATGTCAGTCTTTCCATTTTCCTTTTCTAAAGGGATATTAAAAAGTACAGAAATTGAACATTTTCTTTAGTTAAAAAAATCTGGCAAAAGCCCAAATCTAAACTGCTTTCTAAAAACACTCTGTACTGCTTTGAAAATCACATCAGTAGAAAACAGCAAAGGGATCATTACACCGTGCGTATGTTCAGTGTCTGGGCAAACTCTGTGTAAATTACTATTTTAGTGTCTCGTATTCACAGACCTCAACAGACATTAGGGACCCATGAATCAGACCACTTTCAGAACATCAGCTGTTGTTAACTCAAATCCTGTCCCATTTAGACCAACACCACACTCTGCTAAATATGAAAGTCAAAGTGCTGTAAGAATCCAACTTATGCATTTGTAACTGGGGTACCTTAAGCAAAAAAGACGACACTATTTTCAGACAGTAGTATGATTTCATACAGAGCATTCAGAATTCTACTGAAGCCACAAATGCAGCTCTGCCCTGGGAAATGCGACCGAAAGGAGGTACTGCACTGATTTTGGTTTCACAGTACATTGTAGGATTCTCCTGAAATCCACTCGCACATGAGAATGGGTTTTCGGGGGCCCCCCAACTGACTCGAATGGTCCATGGTCCCGGGTTCGAGTCATGTCACTAGCTGATTGTGAGCAAGACTCCCCAACTGGCAGCAAGAAGTGGCTGAGCACCGCTGAGGGAAGGATAAGGACAGTCACCCTAGACTCTCTCAGCTCTCCGCAAACACAGCGACCACTTCTGTGGCTCAGGATCTGCGCCTGTGGCTGGAAGGTTGCCGGTTCAAATCCCGCGGCCAGCAGAGGAATCCTACTCCGTTGGGCCCCTGAGCAAGGCCCTTCACCCCAACTGCTCCAGGGGCGCCGTATTAATGGCTGACCCTGTGCTCTGACCCCCAAGCTTCTCTCTCCCTGTCTGTGTGTCTCATGGAGACACATTTCTAATGCAAGAAATTGTATATGGCCAATAAAGTGATCTCTCTTTTTCTGAGCCTTGCGGAGCCGTCTGTGAGGGTCTTGCCTTTATGCCAGTCAGCATTCAGCATCCTGCATGCAACTGTTGCCTATAAGGTTTTAAAATGAAAGCGGCTGGAAAGTGTACATGCCAGAGGAGTCCGTCCAGAACTCCCTATTCCCCTGTGTGTAGGCATGGGGTATGTTGTGCCAATCTGAGAAAAAAACACAATTGGCAATTCTGAATTTTGATCCTTAATAAAATGTGTGTGTGTGCTCCAGAGTCGGGTCAAAAGCTATCAAATAATCTGACATCCAGGTGACTGTTTTAGCCTTTAAACTGTAACCCACCCAAACCAAAACAGGAAAACCCCACAAAAACAGATTTTAATAAAAAAAAAACAATGATACCAGTTTCATGAATGATGGTGTACAGATATGTTAGCATGGTTTAATCAGTTCATCTCTAAATAATGCAGAGCCGAGTGCAATGGCAGAGGCCTGCAAAGGATGCTTGGGGGAAAATAAATTGTTACTGTTTGGCCATTTCTTCAATCAAACAGATTGGAGTCCCTTTATAATGCAGATTGCTTCATTCACCTTCATGTTAAAGGAATGTGTTAAAGCAACATGTGCCAACTGTAACAGCTGTATCATGACCTTGCAAAAGGTGACACTGGACTATTGTGGCATTGGCACTTTCTGACACACATCTCTTTCAGGACAATTGGAAGGAGATGAATACCCTACCTAACTTCAGTTGCAATGGCCCTGTGTCTTAGCGGCTCTGTGTATACAAGACTGACCTCTGGCCCCAGAGGACAGGAACCTTCATTTCTGAGAGTTCAAAGGTCACAGGATCAGGGCAGTCCGCAACAATAATCTGTTCAATGACTCTCCCTCCTAGGAAGTTTTCCCACATGGCCTGATAGTTGCTGGAGGAAACCTGGGGAATTAAAGTGTGATTATTCAGAGCCCATGTCAGGCCAGCAATGAAGCTCAGAAGGTTTGGTGGGAGGATTACCCAGAATGAAATATAAGACCTTTCACAGCTGGGGAGTACTCTCAACACCAAGGTCACTGGTGACATGCCCATCTATTCATTCAGATTGTGGGGTTTCAACCATGGCTTGATAAGAAGGGCTGAAAGGTGAATAATTCTATAGCGGATGTGCTTGTCCGCCACTACTTCGGGGACAGGTTACTCTCAGGGGTGAAGGGAGACCATTTCTGTCTGTTGCTCCAAAGCCCCAAGTTGATCAGTCCCTTATGCAAGTTCACCTGATGGGGAGGTACAGTCCTTCTGTCTTAATTAGGCAAAGTATGTTCAGAGGGAAACAACAAAGGGAGAGACAGAGAAACAGCTATAGAGAGACAGTCACAGTGACTTGCAGTGCACAATAAAGCACTTTCAAGCTTGTAACAAAATCAGATTTCAAATCCAAGACTAAGCTCTACTAAGCTCACTCATCCCATTTTAATCTTCTTCAGGGCACAGTGTAAAACTGAAAACATGCCAGAGTCTTTTCTGGGGAGTTTTCCAGTACAGCCAATTCAATACATTCTACTCACCATTTACGTTAGCTGATAAACGCTTACATGTATTTCATAAACTGGGAATAATATGCAAACATAACAAAGAAATCCTAAAATCTAACACTGTGATTGAATATCAGGAGAATTTGAGCATACAAACATCTTGATAACACTCGGTAATGCTTTCCCAAACTGGTTATTAGTTTAAAAAATAAAGGTTTGGTGAGGAGCTGTGTAGCTAGATATTACTTTTAATGAGGGAGAATCGGAAGAGTTTCTGAAAACTACTTGAGAACTGTACACAAGGCTTAGAGAAGAAAAGCTCACTTTGAATTTGGGATGAATGTAAACATATTTTAAGTAACCATTTTGCTTTCTGGATAAATTCCAGGTTTAAGCACTGTGGCTGGAAGACTTGATATTTTTTCTAAATGTTCCATGCATAACAAAAGTATTAGAGATTATGGGAACGTAGCGCTGCCTCACTGAAGGACAAAACAGTTTCAATCAACATTCTGTAATCCAGTAACAAACGAGCATAACATCAGGTCAGACAAAAATTAAATTGATGCAGTACGTTCAAATTTTGACAAAATTAGTATTTCAATTTTTTTCCAACTATGGTATTTGAGTTCTGTTACATAAAGGTGATAATTGAATGGGTTATCGGCCATATACAATTTCTTGCATAAGAATTTGTCTTTTTTCACATACCCCAGCTTGCTCTCCATGAGACATACAGACAGGGAGAGAGAAGCTGGAGGTCAGAGCGCAGGGTCAGCCATTGTACAGCACTGCTGGAGCAGCTGGAGTTAAGGGCCTTGCTCAGGGGATCAACGGAGTAGGATTCCTCTGCCGGCCTTGGGATTTGAACCGGCAACCTTTCAGCCACAGGCGCAGATCCTGAGCCACAGCGCCACCGCCCCACCCTTCGTGTTTCCATATCACCTTAAGTAATTAATCTCATTCTTTGTAACCACGAAAAATGTTCCTCTGAAAAAATGCTAAACAATTGTTCATCTTAAACACACAGCTGGAGAATATTAATGACAAGGAAGAGCAAAACCGAACAGCTAGAAGGAGCCTGTGTTTTATCGAGTCCATCTTGGGATACTTAGAGATGGTGTAAATGCAATCATTATTAGGGGTTCGCATTAATGGGCCAAAGGTCTGCATGCCTATGCATTCTTTAAAAACCCACTCTTGTGAAGCATCTTGAGACCTAATCACATACCGGTGCAGTGACTGTAGAACAACAGCAGAATTTAGATGAACACGGGGTTTAATCCAGTAAACCCTACTGAAGCCTCTAGACACACAAGATGTTCTGCTGGGCCACAAGTTGTCTGATATTTTTCTTGACCTTTTGTCACTTCCAGCTACTACATCAAAACGCACCATTGGAAGGTGTCCAAATACAAACACAACTCTGGGCAAAACCTAACGAACGTGTAGGTTCTGTAGCTGCTCAAGAGGATGAATGCGTATTAAGAATATACTGCTGATGACAAAACTCCATTCCATTAAAGAGTGAACTACATTAAGATGAAAGATGCCAAGGCTTCTGTCTGCAACTACAGACAGCACATTAACATGTAGATATTTAGTCTTAAAGCTTCAATAGGATTTCTACAAGCAAGAAAAGCAAATGACCAATTCCCCTACCTCCACTCATGTGGTTCTACTGTATACGTGAAACAAATGTGCACTGGGGTTCATTTTAATTCCTGTGCAGTTAAGGAATTCACTTCAATCGAGGGGAAAAACAGTGCTAATTATTATGTTGCTACTTACCTTTGGAGTACACCGTCAAGATGAACATCAATATTCCCATGAAGAGGTTGGTTAAGAAAGTGACTAAGCCACAGGTGATGCCCTCGGGGACAGGGTACACCGTCTCCATGAGGAGCTCGAAGAATATTGGCACGCTGCTGTTAATGAATATTCCCACAAGAATACAGGAGGTATACAAAGTAGCTGTGGAAAGAAAAAAAAAAGTGATCACTGGTATTGTAAGGACAATAATCAGGACTTGAGTTCAACAATAAAACTCAACAAAGACCTTTTTGGAAATTCTGTAAAAATAAAAAATAAAAAATAGACCATCGCCCTTACAGCTTTCTCCATGGATAATATAAAAGACTTAAAAAGTTGGGCCATAAAATGTGATCATCATTGTGAAATGAAATAAATAACCTTTAGTGTAAGTATTCATAAAGGGCACACTCTCCAAGAGATAAGAAGTGAAATTATCCATAAATCCTTTAACAGGGAGCTGGCTATTCCTGGTCAGGGTCATGGCCATTCAAAGCCCAGAAAGATGCCCAGGGCACAAGGCAGAGGCTTGAGACACACACAGGGGGGACAATTCAGAGCCAAGATGTCTTTGAGAGGATGGTGGAAACCCACGCTAATGAAGCCGACAGACAAAATCCACATAGAAGATGCTCCAGGCCTGAATCGCACCCAGGACCCAACAGCTATGAGGCAGCAGACCTCCTATTAATAATAATAATAATAATGTAATAATGTTTCTTTATTAGCCCTATACAATCTCTTGCATTAGGAATTCGTCTTTTCGCATACCCCAGCTTTTCTCCATGGAGACACAGACAAGGAGAGAAGCTTGGGGTCAGAGCGCAGGGTCAGCCATTGTACAGCACTGCTGGAGCAGCTGGAGTTAAGGGCCTTGCTCAGGGGCCCAACGGAGTAGGATTCCTCTGCCGGCCGCGGGATTTGAACCGGCAACCTTCCAGTCACAGGCGCAGATCCTGAGCCACAGAGCCACCGCTCCGCCCTATTACTATTATATACAGTGGTAAGTATTCTTTGGGTATGTTCTTTTAATAAATTAAATGAGGGTATGCAAACATACCACCATTTGTGAATTGGACACTGTGTGGGTCTTTAACTGTACAACACATTTATTTGAACTTTTATGAGCTTAGTGTCAACTGACGGTGATTTGAAAGGGACATCTGAATCCAAAAAATGTACTGCTTACTCTTCAAGATGCGGTTAAATGAACTCAGACTATTAGCTGACACATCTTTTAATCAAATGGCTTCAGAGAGAGGATCCTGGAGTAAGGAGTTCTGAAAAATGGATAGCTCTGCACATCAAGATACTTGTGACAAGGCTGAAATACCACAGAAGCAAAAATATGCACCTTTCAAAGACCACAGCATTAGTCTCTCTATAGAGTTTAAGTCAGAAGAATGAATTAAACATTGCTTAAAGCCACTTCTGAACATTATTTACATGATTCAGAAGGCACCCCGAATATTAAAAAGTGAAACTTAAATCAATCTTTGGTTCAAAATCTAACTGTTAAAATCAATCAGTGCTTGGTGAGTAAATCACAGAGTAAAACTGTCAGTCTGTTATCAGTTATCACAGTGGGTCATTTTATTTCTCGCAGAAAGCCAGTTGTTCTTGATTAAAAAGAAATTGCTGCACACTGAAACTGGTTCTTAACAAAATGTAAAATTCACTCTCTAAGACAACAGAAAATCTCCTCTGAAGGACAAGAAGACTACCGAATAAAAGCAAGATGACATATGTAAAACAAGATCTTACTCGTTCTGCTATTTTGTCACAAAGTGTACAGAAGTTATCACGTTGAAAATACACATTTTATATCTTAGGCAGAATTTGCAAAGACTGTATACACAGATATTAAGAATTTCCTGGGATACATTTTCCTTTGTTTTCAGCAAAGAAATTAGAGACTGATAACGTATTTGCAACCATTAAAAATTAAAACTAGCATAACGTTAAGTTTACATTATTGATAAATCAAAGAAAATGCAGGGCAGTCTATTGCTCCACTGGACAGAGCGGCCTGCACTATCTTGGAGTTGCGTTTTCATTAATTTTACTGGTGTTTATTAGTTTCCCCACAAACATAATTTCATTCAGAAGACGAACTTTGCTGCAGACAAACTCAGACCACTATCAGGTCTCGTCAGCACAGGCAACGGCTGGCAGAAACACATACACTGGGATCAAGACATTACTTCCGAGCGCAGGCGATCAGCTGAGCCTCAACTCCCAAGACAACTTCAACATGGAGTGCAAGCAGCCAGTATCTTCAAAACCGGTTCTCAAGAACCCCACAGACACGCTGCAGTGCACAGACCTCTCATCACGTTTGTGGGTCCCAAAGCACAAAGAGCGGAGGCAGTGGCCTGCCAGGCGGTGGAGAAATGCGATTTCTTCAGAGCTCTTGGCTCCAAAAGTGGGGAGTTCTGGTGGTTTCAAAATGTTGTGGGTCGCATTTCTTTGGCATGGTTTTGGGTGTACCGATTCTCTTAGAAGACAATGTCAAAGCTAAAGCTTAATCTTCTTAATGATCCCCAGTAATCATCTTCATCCCATGTTCCAGCCTGCAGAGGTGTCTCCCAGGATGACAGTGCCCCCACCCACACAGCACATGTGGTCACCCAGGGGTTTGATGAGTCTGATGTTTTTCAGATGTCAGAGGGCCTTCTCAGCCCTAAGACCTGAACCCAACTGCATAAGCATGATACTGGATATTGGGCATTCAATGGATATTCTAGAACAACACCCAAAACAGCATTTCCCCTCTCTGTCAAGCAGGTATGAGTCGATTGACTTTCTTGTGGCAGAATGGTGCAGAACTCAAGGTGCTGGAAGACTCTAATGCCACAACCCAGACAGGATGTACTGGCCTCATGTGGTGACCAAACACCCTGTTAAGTGACTCCACATTTGGATGTCTGCTACTTGTACAGTACATAATCTGAGAAACAACTACATATTTGTGAAAACCTAGAAGAAATATTGTATCTAGACTGTTTAATAGGAGCTTAACCTGTTAGTCATGTACACTTGTTTTTTGCAGGGTAAACAAACAGCAGCAAAACAAATGATATAAAAATAAAGTGTATATATATATATTATAAATATATTGACAAAGTCTCACTCATTTTATTATTCTGAAATAACACACAGAACAGTCATTTAAAAAAGGAGTAAAATGATGTGCAACACAAATCTCACCAAAGGTAAGGCAAAAAAAAAATTATTAATAGAGGACCAATAGAGAATAATAAAACTGTAATGTGCCAATTTTTAACGTCCAGTTTCTGAAGACATCAAATCAAGGTTGTCAGCAGAAGAACGACAAAGGGAAACGTTTAGGTGTTCATTTTGTCATTGGGAACCAAGGCAGTAATTGCAGCGGCTTCATTACCTGCTGTGGAGGGGAGGTGTGTGATGCTGGTGAGGCAGGTCAGGGTGAACCACACAGAGGCCAGCGTGGCCCCAGCCAGCATCAGCAGCAGTATGAGCTTCAGCATGCCTCTGATGGAGTCCGCGAACCTGAGGTGGAAATCAGGGCTCAGTCACACAGCTAGAAGCACAGAAGCTCCTGTGCTATGAATTAAATTTCAATGCAATAATAAGAATGGGAAAAAATAACAGTGCCAAACGTTCCCCTGATAAAATATAATTTCCTGTGCAATATGCATGATTAAGAGTCACCACACAGCAACTTGCCAGGACTTCAGGTGCATTCTCTTAATTTGTTTTTACTTTCTTATTGCAAAATATAAGTTAATCATAATTTACCTCTACCAACAGGGTGATACTGATCTGTTACACCATTCAGGTTTGTATCAGTGGCTACCAAAAGGTTACGAAAATGGATTTAGTGTGTAACTCAAATCGGTACACAACGTTTTAATCACGCTGTCCTAAATAAAAAAAACTTATTTTGCAAATTATTTAAAATACTTAAAAGTGCACAGCGTAGATTCTTCCTATGACAGAAACACTCGTGGGTAGATGTACCCAAATCAAATTTAGTAGATTAAGCCGTTTTAAAAAAATACCTGGCCACTATGGCGTCATTCTCAGTCTGGTCTCATACAGTAACAGCAGTTAACTGCTTCCACACAATTAATTTGTCTCAGTAACAATGAACAAGGTTCAGTCTAGGTCCAGCAAACAATTATAAAACAATTAAACCAGTCAGTGAAGACAGAGATGAAACTGACAATTGGGAGTACAAAATAACAATTAAATGTAAGATACCAACGATCACATCCTGATGTCAGTCACAACAACCATGGAAATGAAGACGAACCTTGGATAACTTTTGTTGACTTGTCAGAAGGGCTGAAGTGGATAAGCTTGATATGTTTTACCACAGAGAAGCTACAGTACGGCTACTGTGTCACCTAGCCTTTTTAGCCGAACAGTTCCACAGTTCTCCATCTGTTGCAGCCTTTCACAGACAGGCACGTTCCAAGGTAATCTCCTCGACACATTTAGAGAAGCCATTTGTGACAGAAGACATCAATATGGTATCATTTCACACAATGAGCTGAGGCAGTAGCAGGGAACTGAAGCTGGTTCAGAGAAACTTTAATTCTGATTTTATCATTGGCAAAGTGAGGTAATTGTAGCCAAAGAAAACTGAAAGTGTTAAAAGGCCAAAGTGGGATTTCGGGCAGAATGGAACACAAATACTGCTCACAAACTGCAGTGCTGTATATTTATCTAGGAGCTCAGTGAAATTGGTGCTCACAATGAAACAATTACCTGTTTTGCAGCAACCTATATCAAATCTTCCAGTGTTTGTCAGAAAAAATGATTAAGAGAAATGTGTCATAAAATTAAATACTGATCAGCAATGTGTTTGCTCTATTAAATAATTCACTCAGTGGCTTACAATCAATTAAAAGGTAATGAACTAAAATTAAATGAAGAAAGCCGTTTCCAGTTTTTATGACCTGAGCAGTCAGTTAATTACAGTTATGCAAAATACAAACATTAAAAAACAACCAATTACAGAACTGACAGACAGAATATAACTAAATTAGTCCTCAGTTAAAACTCTGAGGGGATAAAGGCAATGACAAGACTGACAGTCCCTATTAGAGTCAGGAAAACTATAATGAATTAATATGTACTTTAATCACTGCTACAAAAAGTCTAAATGGCACTTTTTCCTAAATAAATGGTGCTCCCTGCTAGGAATACTTTGCAGGTAGATTACATATCCTTTAATAATTCTCATTTATTCATAGTCAGTTTCATCGCAATTCAAAGCACAGGTAATAAGTTATTCCCTGTGCAGTTATCTACTGCACCATAAAAAACAGCTCAACAAATAATTACCAATAACCTCACAGAGAAGTGAGGCGTCATGAGACCCAGGCATCTGTTGCACTGCAGACATCCTGCAGTGTCACAGATTAAGACATCACTTCTCACAAGCAGATTGTTCAGCTCTTTTTTGACTCTTATTTTCACTGCATTTGCCCACCTAGCGGAGAAACCCATCAAGCACAAGCAAACTGACACATAACACCAAAGGGCGTGCAAAAACAGGACTTGCTGTGAGGAGAGTGCCACTGTGTTTACCTTGGACACCTCTAACCACACTAAGGGCATCATCACATTTCCAATAATGACACACACACAAAGCCAGAGTCAACAATAAACATATGTGTTTCTTCACCTTTACTGAACTCACTAAATGACCCATCATTTTATCAAGCCATCACATTTAACAAGAATTATTATCTAATTTGCCTAATTACAACTTTCAGCAGATTAAAGTAAGAGACATCATTGATTCTGCCCTGGCTACAAACTGCTGAATTGGCTCAACAACAAAAGTCCATCCATCAAAGGTGACAAATCCTTCATTTTGCGGACTCCACAGTTTAAAACTGACTGTATATAACTATCTACCCAACCATGTGAAAGACGGACAGTATTTCATCCTCTTCTGTCTTGAGAGGAGAGTTTGCTCAATATATGCCACTTCAGTAGGAAAATAAATTTAGGGGAATTGCACGTTAGCTAAGTGACGAGCAAAGGATTCAAACAGAAACTAATATTTCAATCCCCTGCAGAAGAGGCTGAAAGCAAAGAAGAAGAAGGTGGCCACCTGTGAATGGCCCATATCGTGGACAGGTATGTAAGAACTGTGCGCTCGGTTTTAATTAAGTCTAACAAGTAAACTGCGATTGCTTGAAATCCACTACACAAGCAAGTGATACTTAAATGACCTTAAGAGTATTGTCTGGGTGAGAACACACCAAGCTTGTCTTTTTGCAATTTTTCATTTGCATTGATAAGAATCTTCAAAAAATAATTTCATAGCAACTCAAGACAAACTATACAGAAGATGCCTGTAGTATCTAATCCATCACATTTACCAATCAAACTTGAGGGATTGTCAGGTCTTCCTCTTCTCTAACACTGTTTGTTCCTCTCGCTATATCCATAGCTAAAAGGCTATTTTTCATACTACAGAATACAAATCTATTAGGATAAACAGTCATCTTAAAGCACAATTCCTAAAATCAGTAGACAATTGCCAGAGAACTGTGTTTCTGCATGAAGAAGAAAAATCAGTGAAAAATGCAAAAAGTCATTTTGCAAAAGACTTTCCTAAAGCAGTGTAATACCACAGTTAAAATGAGCCGCACAACTCTAAAGAAAGTCATAGCAGTTGATTACCTTATAGATTCCCTTCCCTGCTTTTAAAAAGTCACATCATTTCTAGCTGCACTCAAAGGTATTTCAAGCAGCAGGGGGTTTCATTTCAAATCAGTGTGTGAAAATCCATCGAAGTTTGTTTACACTGTTCTCAGAACCTTGGAGCCTCTTTATCACATCAAGGGGGAAGTCTTTCAGGCACAGGGATGGTGAAGAATGCGTTTTAAAGTGCTTACCTTGCCATCGCTACACCAACAACACAGCCTCCGACAATCGACCAAAAGCCAATCCAGCCTGCGTCCACCTACAAAACATGAGAACAAGCTGCTCATGACCCTTCACACCCTTTGTTTAATCAATGAATACCAATTTCTCCCCTCAGAACGCAGGTACACATGTCCCAGTTTAAAAACAACCAGGTTTAATTTCTTATTTATACCTCATAATATACCTATAACGTTGATTCTTTAGTGTATGCATCTGTGTATTGTTAGAGAGCTTTCTTCATATTGTGTGCTGCTGGAAAACAAATTGCCCTTTGACTGTCTCAGTCACTTTGACTTCAGAAATGAAGCAACAAACTAGTGTGTTGCACAATTTTATAGGACTCACATGTGAGAAAAATAAAAAAATAAATATTGTGTATATAGGTATTAGTTTTGTAGAGTAACTGAAGTGTTGTGCTACACATTCTGTGTCTATGCCGATTATTAATCTGAGGCAAGATTAAAGATTCAGATTGAACACTGAAATAAATTCCATTTAAAACACTTACAAAATATGCTCGTGCAGGGGATGTGTATGCCCGTGTGCCCCTGTTACCTTGCGGTTTGAAATAATGCATGGATATCACAACACGTGCATAGATTTTTATTCTGACATCACATGAAACATCAGCAGGTTGAGTTGTCTTGGTCTGTGGAGCTCATGGTGAACATGCCCCACCACTCACCCCTCTACAAGTCACCGAGGTCTCTTGTATCCATGCTGGCCAAACTTACAGACAACCAGGCTAGTCCAGCATCTTTGCTTAATTAATGCATGAGCCACACCTGTCGGAAGCCCTTGCTTTTAATATACTTTATGTCCCCATTTTCTTGTCCACTACCTGTACATTTGGGTAACACTGTACTGCACTTACTAACGGTTGAACAAAGAGAAATGAAAATTAAACAGCACACAGAGTGTGCCAGAGTAATACTGCAACTGCAGCTCTGGGTAAACAATGAAACAGAACTGCACTTATTTCAGTCATTTCCATCTAGGAGCTACATTGCTATGAAAGGCCTCCTCAAATTTAGCCTTAACTCTCCATACCAGTATTTACTGCTTAAACAAAAGCTAATACACTATTTCACTGCATGACAACTTCAGTTTAAATCAGGTTTCTTGATAAAGGCTGTTTAACATTTTATTTCTTGTTGCCTTAAGCACATTGGGTTTATAAATGGGAGCTATACAACCACTTCAAAGTTATCATGAAATTAGGATAGGATAAAAACAGTGGAGCGTCTGAAGAAGGGATACTACATACTAAAGCAGAAAGTACACTTATAGAGGAGTGTTTAAGTTAACCATTCTTTTAATACGTCATCACAGAAAAAGAGTTAAATCCAGTACTGTCTGTGCTTCGGGCTTTTAGCACCTTTATTTAACATTATAATCTTTACTCTAAGCCTAAAGCAAACAAACTTGGAATCAGCCTTTGACAGATCACTCTTGCAGTTGAGAGCAATTTTCTAAATTGGATTAAGCAGCAGTCGCCGTATCTGGTGATGTGGCGTGTTTCTTTGTCAAAATAATACATACAATCAGAAGCTGAGAGCAATGATAATGACTCTCATATGTTCAGAGACTCTCTTGCCTTCTGTTAATGAAGTTTGGATCCAAATGGACTTTCTCAAGGCCAAGGTCTAATCTGTTTCACAAAAATACAGCATCACATGTCTCGTGGGAAACCAAATGTTAAACCTCTTTTGTTCTGCAGTTTATTTAACATATTCCATAAAAGGTCTTGACCAATTATAAATGTCTGCTATATCCTGAAAGGTACTGTTTTTTAAACTCTGTAACCTAAATTACATGAACTACTGCCATGTGCTACTCCAGTTAGCCTAGGTCTTAAAGATATTTTTCATTTCAGTATTTGTTTTATTCCAAGTTAAACCTATTGTTAAAGATCTAAATTGTTCAGGACTTGTGTTCTACCTTGATAGAAGTGTTTATTTTCTAGATTTCAAGCTCCAAGTTTGTTTCTCCAGATGTTTTACTGTCCTGTTACCTATAATGTTACTCATTGTGTCATTTGGAGACAAATGTGTCTTGCTGTTAGCCCCCAGTGGACTTTGTCATCAGTATTGCCTATCAATAGAACTCCCTATTCCTTCGCAACTGCCTGATCAGAAATCATGTGTCTCAGAGCTCCTAACACTTTCAATACCGAAAGGAGCAGAAATATTCAATGGACAGCACAATTTGAGGATGCAGAAGCTGTAAAGGATGTGGCACTCTGAGTGGCGATTCTGCAGATTTCTGGGATACCAAATGGCCCTAGATTAAAACACTGTACAGCACAGGTTTGTGTACGCACTGAGAGAAAGGGAAATAAATGCTACACAACCCTGGGGGGAAAAAGAAAAATTCAAGTCATACACTTGACATTTTATAGAAGAAGAATCCATGTAGCTATAGACGTCATCAAGTGCAAACAAACTGAGAAAAACAATTGCACTGCAGTATTTTCTGCAGAAAGAAAGTATCTTTTTTTAGGGACTCTCTTACTAGACTGAATCACTGAAACCTTTCCCTATAAGTTTACACAAGGACAAGATCAGACATCATTCTGCTTGATTTCAATGATGGATACAATGAATAACACCAGCACCTTTTGACAAATCCAGAAAAAAATAGAATAGGCACAGCACAGTTTCCTTCCAGAAAGAAGGAGAATTAATTCGGTTCACTTTGCTGTCTTTTTGGCTCAAAGTGTTTTTTGGTTGAAGCCCTTGTGAAGATGGGTTGCAAAAGCAGCATTTCAAACCACTGCTTTGCATCATTCTAGCATTTAATATGACAATGACACCTTGATTTGAAGGCACCTTATTTTAAGCCCATAAATAACAAATCTTCTAATATGTTCTAGTTCTAAACATTTTCTACTCCAATTCCATGCTGTACAGCATTTCAGACAGTGCTCATTTAAAACAAAACTAAACAATTTATCAGAATAGGCTTGAGGAATTTTAACTGATGAGACCGCAAACTTAAGTTGAAGCAATTATTTAAACGGTATTAAATTCGCTCTGAAATAAAGCACAATAGGCTTTCAGCATGCTAATTAACCACAGACGATCCCAATTTAAGAGGACATCGCCCGAAGAGAATGAGCAGACCAGCTTTTGCTCCGAAATCCAAAAAAAAAAAGTTTTAAATGGATCTGATGCCTTTGAAATTAATTCTGTTCTTAATGGGGAACATTCTTTATATATATATATCCAAAAGAAGGGGCACATAGACAAATGCCTATCTAAAGGACTCAGAAATATAAATCCCATGCGTGTGGGACAATGCTCACCTGGCTCACTTTAGCAGGGGTCAAGACCATGTCAAGCACTCCTGACCATCCCGACACCACTCCAGTCGGCACCGAATAAGCCAAGGCAATCATCAGAAAGCGCACGTTGCTGCAAAGCAAAAGTCAAATTACATGATTAGACAAAACCTTCACCCTCCCCCCTCCTACCCCACTCTGGTTGCGTCATTATCTCCTAAACCTCTAAAAAAAAACAGCACTTCCAGATAGCTTAGCAAGGTAAGGCACAATGCAGTGTAGATTCCCTTCACTGAGCAAAAGCCCTGACACTTCAAGGTCATTTTCTAGTGGAGACCTGCGAGAGTGCTGCGCTCTTAAGAATGACACTGACAACGCATTCAAACACACGCTGCTTGCTCGGCACTGCAGCTTTGTAGTTGGTTAGTGGCATTTTCACACTAGATCAATACAGTTTCCCTGCAAGGTCTGTCTAATGACAATCAGTAAAAAAACATCCAGGGAAAAAAAAAAAGATGTTTCTGTGTTTATTCCACCAGGAGATGAAGAGCTGATTTTAAGGCTATTTTTTGGGAAAACAGGGCACAAACTACATTTCAAAACTGCCTTGCATTTCATACCGCAGTGCTAGAGGCATCGTGATCCTGATTCCATAATACAGCTTAGAACAACTTATATAGCACTGATCTATGAATACACATATCCAGGGATAGTAAAATGACTTTTCACTTGTCAGTTTTAATGCAAACACCAGCCAAAAATCATTACAGTGTCTTAGTGGCCTTGCTTCAGCTGTCAACACCTCTGTCACTTACAGTGCTGCAAACAATTTGTAACACAAAAAAGGTTCAGAACTTAGATATATGGTCTCTGCTGCACTACAAGCAGTACAGTTGGCGAGATTTTTTAAATGTTACGCCATGTGAGACAAACACATGTAGCTACTGAAAGTGCCGTGGTCTCCAGAGACCCCCCTGTACAACAAGCCGGATTCACTTCAATGGGGCATATCGTGCTGAGCAAAATTTATAAATAAATAAAAATGTCAGAGAAGGGCACACCACCCTCTTGGCGACAACTCTACCCTTGCCCTGTATTGCAGGCTAAGTAAAAAACTGCCAGACCTAAGGCAGTTCCTGAGCTTAATAAAACATCATTTGAAATACACAGTTTTCTCACCATCACATCATTAAGGGAGTAGCAGAATGCAGAGAGGGTCTTGGGAGCCCTAAGATGATTACTGCAGCTGGAAGTGAGAATTTGTTGGTATTGGATTAGAATGGCATTAAGGAATGAAAATTCAGGTGAGAATTTTGCAGGGGGAAATTAGTGCAGGATCAGATGGCTGTTGATTTCTAGTGGCTCCGTCATTAACATTCACAAAAAGATACATTTTGTTTTCTATTGGTCTGCTGCAGGGAAACTGAGGGAGGATCTCCAGAGATCAGGGCTGTTCGAGGCCACTCTGCACACTGTTCCCCAGGAGCAAGAGTTTCATGTAAAGGAATTACTTTCTCACAGTATCAAATCATTCATACATCCTCAGAGACAGAAATGCCTAGGATCCTGTAGTACCTCTACTCCTAGTTTAATGTACTATATGTGCCACCACACCTTGACTCAGTTTCATGGGGCCATGGCTGTATTAAAAACCACTGAACCAAACTGATTCAATGATTCGATCAAACCCACAGTTTCGAGGTCCGGGATTTGATTCTGGGCAGTGACACCTGTCTGTGTGTCCAGTATTTGTTTTCCCCTGCGCTTGTGTGGGCTCACACTGGGTACTCCAGTTTCCTCCCACATCCCAGAAGCATGGAGAAAGGGGTTATTAGCTACTTGATATCCCTTTGTAAGGGTGGCAAGAGGATTTCACACATGGGGGGTTTGTCCCCAGTACAACCAATACCGATGTTGGACCTAGAGAGAGAAACGGACAGATGAGTCCCATTGGCCAACAATTCTCCTTTCATCTGTGACCACACTGATTAGCTAATATCTACTCTTTCATGCCTATATATTAGGTCAAATTTGAGAACTGCCAGGATTTCATTTCTTTTGGTCGCGTAGTCAGCTATTTCTGTATTGCCGTCTGGTAAATATGTTATACGACAGCAATAGGTGGCTTATATTTCTCTGTCAAAAGTAATTTGTCAACAGCAAGAAGCTAGAAAATAGGCTTTATACTTCAGCAGAACTGCAATTTTATTGGATAACAACAGGGTTTTATTCCCCACACATAGCTCAAGACTATTTGCTGCCAGTAGAGAGTCTCAAATTCAACAAATGAGTCCCTTAATTACAAGCTACCTGTAAAATTATCTTCCTAGCAGATACACGTTGCAACTGAATTTCATTTGGGGAGATACAGCATTTTAAAATTACCCCCCGTTTAAATTTAAACATTCAGAATCCGGTTTTATTTTCCACCAAAACAGCATGCTCCTCCCTTTTCTCATGAAGAACTGCACAAGAGCTCTGCAATTTGCCTTGACTTATTCCACAAAGTTGTCTTCAACTTTTTATTCGGTTCTTTAAATAATCTATGCTCACACTTTAGTTGAGGTCTCCATTAAAACTGTCAAGGAACACCCTATTTCCATCTAATTAATAATGCCTGTCAACAGAAATCGATAATATCACATACCCTTCACCTTGGGGTTACGGTTAAGGAAAGGGGTGCGGTTCAGTGTGTGGCGATGACCGGGTTTTGTTACTAACATCTAACCTATGGTAGAAGCTGATTCTCGTTATGACCTTTATCTACAGGTTACACTCTATTATCACTTTTATAAATCTGTTTAATCTATGGAACACATCTAACTGCTGTGTATAAGTACGCCTATAAGGGTACACTTCACTGACACTGTGTGTCTTTTTCTATGACCTATACCTTAAAACACAGTTATTGCCCACACTTTCTTACCCACATGTTCTTTCTGAAAACATATTATTTCTTACAAAAACTTCTGAAACCCATACAAGTGGGGGAAAGCAGTTAGCTAGAAATGGAAGTCAGATGGGTAACCACAACCATAACAAACCTTTTGGATTCTGTAGGTTACCAGCAGCCTCTCTGGCCTCTTAAAATAATCATACGAGTGCCAATGTTAGAGATGCGTTTACATTTCTGTCAGTCACTGTTCCAGTTTACTCAGATGGAGGTTATCAGGCTTGAGAAGTTTTAAATATCAGTGCAGTTATGAGAATCATAAGCAGAAGTAATGAAAATATACATTTACGGGGCATTATAAGGGTGAGACAGTGATGTGGTAACCAGCACTGTTGCCTCACATCTCTTGTATCCTAGGTTTCACGTCAGACATGGTACCTTCTGCGTGGCGTTAGCACGTTCTCCCTACAGAACCTTCTGCTGGGCACTGTTGTTTATCTTCTACTTGCCAAAGTCATTCTGGCTAGGCTAACAGATGTCTCCAAATGTGTCCCTATGTGTTTGTGCACGAGCTCCCGTGAGCTTGGCTACGTGTCCCTGTGTATTTGTGCATGAGGACCCATGAGTTTGTGAATGAGTGTACACACACTGTGATAGGCTGGTGTCTCATCCAGGGTGCAGCACTGTTTTGCTCCCTTCACTTACCACCTACGAATGAATAGAATAAAAAAACTAAAAAAAGACCATAATACATTAGTTCAGTTCAGCTGTGCAATATCAGGCAATAACAACAGTCTGGGTTAAACAAGGCCTTCCACATCATCTCTGATGCTTGTCCTTAATACTCAACAATGTGTGATTTGATTTCTTTCCGTTTTTTACCTTCTCAATGATTGGGGCTATACTTTAAAAACATTCCAAACCCATCCGGCCCTTCTAGACTCTTAGATAATTAGCACTTAATTAGTTCAAAGACTTTATCCAGCTGGTTTTTATAAGAACAGAGGGTATCAGCTTCAACAAAATGGCTGGGCAGCTTGTTCCATGTTGCCACAACCCTTTGAGTAAAGAAGTACTTTCTCCTCTGTGTTTTAAATGCACTTCCACATAGTTTCCATTTGTGTCCACTAGCTTGGGTTCGACTGTTCATTCTGCTGGGTTGGCCTTGTCAATGCCCTTTATGATTTAGAATACGGTGTCAGGTTCTCTTGTAGTCTTCTGTATTCAAGACTAAAAAGTTCAGTTCCTTCAGCATGTCAGTGCAAGACATTCCCTTAAGTCCCAGAATCCACTTGCTTGCTCTTGTCTGTATTGATTCCAAAGTGGAATCTTTTCTATAAGGTGCTAACTAAAACTGTCCACACTATTCTTAATGAGGCCTTATTAGGGTAACATCACTTCTTTTAAATTTGACACTTTTAACTACTGTAGATATTCTATTTGCCTTTCTTGATCAATTCTTCACATTGTCCAGAGGACGTAAATGTCAACATAAATACTCAAGTGTTCTTCAAAACCAAGTTCATAAACTCATACAAACATCTTTTAAAACACATTACATCACTGTGATTTTATGTATTCATAGACAAGTTCTCTCTAAAACCTGTATGATACCCCACATGCATACTGCTCTCTGCCTTCAAATATATCTGGTGTACATTTCTCTGCCTCCTGACCAACATTAGGACTTTTTGATCAGTACTAGCATATTGTGGTTTGCCAATTTTGAGCAAAACTCCATTGTAAAGAAATTATTAAATTAAGAAAATGATACTTGCTGCAGCAGCACACTATATTCTATGATTTGGTACTGGGAGCTTTATTGATCAAAAGGTTATATCTACGAGAGGGCACCTGCTTAATGTTGCTGTTAAAATTCTGCTGCTGAACGTTGCTCGCCTTTAGAAGTCCACAAACAACTAATTGAACATTACTTTCTAGTATCTATATTCTTCATCCGTGGTAGAACTTAGAACTTTGGTGGCCAAAACAAGATTAAACCAGACATCTTTCTTTTGATAAAAGAAATGTACTGTAAGTTTGTTTTCGCAGCAGCAGAATGATAAGGTGGTTTTGTTGACTGTCTGATGAGGACGGTCGTGAACACTTGAATAAGATCACTGATGGAGTACATTTCTCTGCCTGCACCCTTTTCATTAACCTTGCAGCAGTGTGAAATCAATATCTATGCACCTTTCCAGATGAGTTCTTGTTTATATTACAGCATATAAGTGAGCACATTTTCGTAAAATATTCCAGAAAGCAGCTAAGCCAGCAGCATCATCAGCTAAGTGCTATTTGTCCTTGGCAGTTCTAACTACTGTTCAATGCATGAAGAACTGGCTTCGACAATCTACATTTGCTTACAGGAGAAGGAGGATTTCACAGTATTAATCAGATGCCTGGTAACCCCAGTTTTATCCGATAAATACAGAGCAGCAATCATGCATTATCACATACTGTACAGACGAGAATAAAAGATAACAAGCAATGTACTGGAAAGTGAAACATATTTTTCAAACATCTCATATAAAAAATGGTCTTCCTCTAGTTTTCCAAATAGCTTTTATTTCTTTCCAATTCATTACTTTCAGTAACCCAGACTCATGCACTTACATTGCAACAGTAATACACCATTTCCACATCATGGGAAGGTTATCACACTGGGGATAGTTCAGCAAACACAGCAAAGAATCTGTGTGGAATTCACAGCCAAAACTAGTCCCCGATTCTCTGCTTTCTGTGGTGATTGGGGTGCCTGTCACGATAACGCCCCGTGTTCTGTGCCTGCCATAGTCCACAATCAAAAGCATTTTTTTTTGCCCTGTGAATTGAACTAATACAGTAAGAATGTGCTGATGGATGCCCACCTATCAGTAGGACACCAGATCGCATTGCATTGCAAATAAGACCGTTAGTTCAACTCGTAGGAATCTTTTGAAGCCCTGTTCCTTAAAGCCATACAATACATACAGTTGCGGTTGCCAGTATAAACTGGAACAGGTTCTGAGCACACTCGCAGTGGTCAGAACAGCGGGGTACACACAAAGGACAACAACAGACAGAGGTTTTTTCTGAAGGCCTTCTGCATTTGTGCAAATCGCCTTGCACCGTACCCTCAATCCAAAGCACTTCCTTTGTGCCCCGCCGAAAGGAAACTGAAATCCCACATTTCCGATTACGTTTGTAAGCTGCTGGAGATACCTGAGGAGTCGGCAGATGCTGCTTCTGTAGCCCAGTCTCTGGCTGGCCGCGGCTACACTGGGAGGCAGGGGAGGCCGGGATGGGAAATAGAGCACCACAGCAGAGAAGAGCACCGCGGTCATGGCGAACTCTGCAAATCACAGACAAGAGCCCGCCGCAGTCAGTTCCCCCCTTCAAGTGACATGTTCAGGTGCAAAGGTCACAGTACAGTAAGCCTGTCTTTGACTTCTACATTACACTCAGAGAGACCAGCGGTGATTCAGTCACCGTGCTGCTTCACAATTTGGAGGAAGACTGTAGGAAGTAATAATAATAATGTAATAATAATGTTTCTTTATTAGCCCTATACAATTTCTTGCATTAGGAATGTGTCTTTTCGCATACCCCAGCTTTTCTCCATGGAGACACAGACACAGAGACAGGGAGAGAAGCTTGGGCTCAGAGCGCAGGGTCTGCCATTGTACAGCACCCCTGGAGCAGTTGGGGTTAAGGGCCTTGCTCAGGGGCCCAACGGAGTAGGATTCCTCACCAGCCGCGGGATTTGAACCGGCAACCTTCCAGTCACAGGCGCAGATCCTCAGCCACAGAGCCACCACTCCGCCCACAAGTGCGTAGACGGGTTTCGTTCTTCTCAGTTCTGGCCGTCACACATTAGTGGAAAGACACCCTGCCCCCCCACAAACGAAACTGTGACATCATCAAAACAAAGCAATGACACTGGACAGAGGCAGAACCACAGGGGGGCGCTGTGTATGCAACACTGTTACACTAACGTCACCAAGTGCAGAGGCTGTGCAGGCTGAGGCAAAGCATGAACCCGGGCCAGACCAGGCCCACAGGCCAGAGGAATTATGTTAGAGGCTCTAATAAACTATCACCCTGAGCTTCCTTCTCATCTACTTTTTGAGTCTTCTTGAGTTGATTTTTTGCTCTTTAACATCATAAAATGGGAAACAAAAAAATGTTTTGTGGATTGGTATCGGATTCTTCATGTTGAAACTTCAATGTTAACACTACTTTACTTAAACACTTAAATTAGTTTACTCTTGTAACACAGGATTTAATATACACCGACATTAATATTTTTGGCGACTGTATTCAGGCTCATTCAGATTTTTTTATAGCAAAACCGTGCTTTTATTCTGCAATAGTTTTGATCAGCTCTGTAGGTATGTGATAAGAATTTCCCAAGCAACGCATCAAGAAATTTAATTCAGACTAAAGATCACTGCTCTGCGCTAAAATTAATTTCTTTTTGACCTCTAAAGCCGTCGGATCACGATTTTGTATCTCTGTTCTCCCCTCAAGGAATTAAAACTGAGATTCTTTAGGTTAAACAATGTCAGCACCTTAATCTATTATTGAAGTTTTTTTTTTCATTTTTTTTAAACTGCTTTAATTTTCTGAATCAGTTAACCAGAACCACCCAAATGTTGCTCAGCATTTTTTAAAGGAACAAGGTGAATACTGCTGAAAGGTTTCAGTTTGGTATTCTAGCAGATTGTAATCCCCTATGAAAATGGTTTGTGCTGCATGTAACACCAGGGTAAACCTTTAAACGAGGAACAGACTAGAGAGACTGGATATAAAAAAAAAATACCTGCATAGAGTACAATCTGGATACGGTCCCTTATGTGGTCGTTGGTTCTGCCGATCACGCTTCGCAGCGGTTGCGTCTCATTGGGTGCTGGTACTACCAGCGGTCCAATCAGAAATGAGCCTGCAGATCCCAGGTAGCTGACCAGAGAAGCAACAGCAGTGGCAGTTGCCCTTTGATCTGGGGCGAACCATGTAGTGGAGAGGAGAGGGGGGGCACTCATGATAGTCGGACCAGCTAACCCATTCAGCAGTTGACCTCCATGAATTAACCTGCAGAGCCGAAAAAGAAGGATGAAATGGAATTCGTAAGGAAAGCCGCATATCATACTCCCAGCGGTGGTACCTAGTAACAGTATTTTAAAAGAAAAAATACATTTATATATCAGTGTCATATGCTAACGACCCAATTAACAGTTTTACAGACTCTTCTCAGAAAAAAAAATCGAATTTAACAAATTTTGTTAACACTTAAGGTGTTGTTAAATTACTCACAAAACTTTTTTTAAAAAAAAAAAACAAGCACTGACACTCAAAATGCATTATAAAGTATAGACTATGAAATGTCACAACCTTTTTTTTTGTAATGGGCAAAATGTCAGAAACCAAATATAAACGTAGAAAAAAAGAAAACACCCCTAAGCACAAAAAACTCCAATCGTATTTTGATACCTGCGTTAGTAATACTAATTTAATCAAATTATACTTTCATCAGGTTTCTGCTTAAAGAGATATGTGCTGTGGCTGTTTTGACAGGAGCTCCTCAGAATTTCTGCCAAGAGGAAGACTTCTGCACAGAAGAGAAACGGATTAGAGAACACCAGCCATGTAGGCAGACCCACGCACAGACTGGTGCAGAGCCTTACACTGTACTAACATAATGGTGACGGACAATAATGCCTCAGAGAAGGAACTGCACCTCAGGTCCTTCTGTTGAACCGTCACTGGCCCTGTCTGTGCTTGGAAAGACATAGTACATTATTTTTATTCACCCCACAGCCACGCTGATACAATACACCCCAAGCTACTGTAACAGCTTAACAACTCTGATTACTCCTGTGAAGTGCACGAAGAGATTTTGCGAGACTAATAATAATAAATTAACCATCCACATTTATCTGTTTCAAAGTCGTTCGGGGAAAAAAACCCCACAGAAGAACAGAATTCCAAATGCTCTCTGCCGTGCTGAGTGTGGCCCCATGGGGTCTTTTTCTGGTCGCCATCTTCAGCGGTCTGCCAGGTCTGATTTATTGCACTATGAGACGCCTCATGGAAAAGAACTTGCATTTAGCTGCCTATTGAAAAACAAACTCTTCTTCTCTACTCCTCCAGAAGAATTTTTTGCAGTCACATGGCTCCCAATAAAATCGATAGCTGTAAAGCCTTATCAGTGCTGCAGTCCTGTCACACAACGTCACATTTGACAAAACATTCAGCCACAGAGCTCTCCATTTCGGTCTATAAATTAATGCCAAGGAACAGCGGTTACAAGCCTTTCAGTATTTAAGGGTGGAAATGCAGCACAATTCTGTCTGTTCCAGCTTTTCTTTCTGGGAAAGATCAATAATAGACTATGAGGGTTTCCTAGTGTCTGCTGTACAGGGAGCTGCAGGTGCAGAATGGCAGCTGGAATACAGTGGTGGATGAAGTATGTACCATCACACAAGCACCGTGCAGTCCCCTGAAATCAAAGGCAAAGAGGGGATGCAAGACCTTATTATATGATTTATCATAAAGGTTGGTATGGACTGTAGCAAATGAGTGCGTTATTATATTGGCACCTAACATACAAAAAACTGCAAAACAAAATGGATCTCTAACCTTATACAAGAGTCATGAGCATGTCCACGTATATGAGTTTAAATGTCTCCTTGTCCCATGCAAAACAACAACAAAGCACCTTATGGTACAGGTTCTACACGAGAAACGGGAAGCAATTCCACAGCCCAGAATTACCGATCTTGCTGACAAGACAGCCATGCGTGTGAAAGACGTGTGCATTGCTGGTCCCTGTGTGAGCATCACCTTAAAGAAATGTCTTCTTTTCTTTGGCTGCCTCATTGCGATTAGATTTTGATCCCCTGGTGGGCTTTTCTGCCTAGATAGAGCATTTCAATGGGATTTTCTTCAGTGCAACATTTTATTTATGTCAAAGCTAAAGCTGATTACTAAAATAATGAGGAATTTACGATGCATGGCTGTTTAGACAGGGCTAAAGCTCCCATGTCAATGAGGATAAGTGTTGTGTGTTTGGCCAGGACTCTATTTTAATGCCGTTTCCTTTAACAGATAATTTAATCTGTAATAGTGCCGAAACTCAAGTAAAGGGCAAGCCCAGTTATTTAAATATATCACTCTTCTCAATTACAACATTAAAAAAAAGCCATTTCTGAAAGCGCAGCAAGCAGAAAGAAATTTGCCGTTTTTAACACAGACTTCAGCTGAAGCACAACAATATGACTGACATCGTGTTTTACAAAGAAGGCAATTCCTAGGCTTTTCAGGCAGGTTTGTAATGACACCTCTTTGAAAGCAAACGTACAGTATATCTGCATCTTGATCACTATTGAAGTCCTTAAAAAACAGGCTACAGACAATGCTCTGTCTCTAATGCACGCCAATGTTAAAACAAAGGGTGCTATATCAGATAAAAAAAGAGCGGCAAGATTATCTTCTCATCATGCCTTACTGCATGGAGTTTTGCTGCAAGACACGGAGTGTCTGCTCCAGAAGATAAAGACAGGGAAGAAAAGCCTGTATCTGGAATGACAACAATATCAAGTGCAGAAAATCACAGCCAGAGCTGAATTTCCAGACAGTATTTGAAACCATGAAATTTTTAATAACGCATGAATGTAATACGAGCTGGAATATAATACTGACAAAGTACCCAGCCTTTGTCAAACACTGCAATTCTTACATTTGATCAATTCCACCCTTAAAATATAAATCTTGGTCTTAACAAGCTAAAATATAAGATACTTTTGAAGGTCAAGCATAATTGGTATAACCCTGGGATACACTAAAATCTGTTCAATCCCAAATATACAGCAAGAACACTCAATTTTTATTTAGTCTGCATTTTTCTCAGCTCTGCATCCACAGGGAAATTTTATTTTTATCTTACAGGGAGATATGGCTGGACTAGACAGTCCTGCAATTACAAACTATACTTTTGCAGACAATATCACATACACAGTTTTGTACTTTCAAGTCATAAAAAAGACCAATATAGTGCTTTCAAATAAGAGAAATTTAAAATATATATTTTGGTTTGACAGGAAGAAATTAAAACAAGCCTATTAAGACAATAAGGCCATAATTCATTATATATAAGGCATTATAAATATGACGCATAAAGTGAATAAAGTAACAAATATAAACTAAACTTCTTTAAAATAATTTACAGGAAGACATAATAAATAATTTTGCCTTCTGCTGTCAAGATCTGAGAATCTTGCTCTCTTTTTTTTTAATTCTTTTCAAGGCTCAGGACTTGAAATCAGATGTCTCGACTGTAAAGTGACAGTAGCTACTTTAGAAACAAGAATTTCTCTTTTTCAGTGTGATACTCCTTGGCAATGGGTGACATTTCAATGTAGTAAACAATAACTTCAAACATGATATTTTTCCTGTTAAAGGAAAAGGTCTATGTAAGTTCCAATGCAGAGGCACATATGAATATCTCTAGGATATGGAGCACAAGCCATTGTTGGCCAAAGTCTTTGTCTTCGGTCACTGGGAAGGGAAGTGGCGGCACCTGCTGGACAATTTAAAAACTGCAGCCAGGCTTTCCACGTGAGCTTTTTAAAAATCAAGACTGGTTCCTTCTACACCTTACAGGTTTGATATTTCAAAATAAAATTGATAGCAGTCTGCGAAAGGTGCTAGATGCTCTTCTCACTGCACACTGATGCGTGATCCACACTGCTGCACAAACACAATGTTCTCAAAACAATCTCAGGCACAATCACAGATTACAATGTTTAAAAGCCTACAGTATGTTATTTAATTGTAATTTATTAAAAGCCTCCACTAATATCGTCTAGTGCAGATTACTTTTAGTGGGATGACACCCATCTTTTAGAAATCTGATACAAAGTACTGTAGTGGCTAATCCATTACACTTACCAGTCAGATCCGATTGATTCACTGTCAGGTGTTTCTCATTTACATTGTTTGTTGCTCTCTAAAACACCCACAAACTCCAAAAGGCTTCCTTTTCTCTTGTGATCTATCAAGATCTTGACCATCATCTCAAAATGTCTAAAGTTTCAGTAGACGATCATGTGCTTGTGCATAAAGAGGGAAAAACACTAAATGGAAAGAGAAGAACAATGCAAAATGTCTGAGGCAGCAGTGTAGTGGACTAAAAGTAAAATAAATTAAACTGTGAATGTGATCTAAGAGGCAAGGCAATGACAGATGTCTAGGATTTGATTTGAAAACTATAACTTACACTCATAAAACCATGATGCTACATATCTTGGTACAATTTACTAATCCGCGTTCCATATCCTACAATATCCAGGTAGGATTTAAAAGCTTGCATAGCCTAATCCCATGTGACGACAATCCGATGGGAACCCTATACAAGAAACAGTGGAAACAACATGAACTGGGCATCAGTCTGGTGCACAAGGGGGATCAGGTTTCTCCTTTTCAAGAAAATGACTTTTAATTTTCTACTACGTGCACTTTTTATGAAACCACTATAATTGTATTATGTTATAAAATCAAGTTACAGCCATAGAAGCAGTCAAAACAAAGAAAACATCAGAATTTGAAGATTCTGATGTTTTCACTGGTCCTTTAATAAAAGCAGAGGAAAGCTCAAATCTCTTACAACAGTGGGCACGAGTTCCAAACCTCATTAACAGAATCTGACGTTCCTTTTTACCACACAATGATATCTCATAATGCAGCGTTACGCTATTGCAATAGAAACCATACAGCAGATTTATATGAAATAAATGGTCGATTAAGAATAGAGAACTTAATGAAATTACTTTTGCGATGAAAGTCATTGAAACAACCTTAATGGAACCTGTCTTCCTATCACAGAAAGGAAACGCACACATTCCCAACAAGATAAAACCGCTTGATGCTGCTGCTTCAGGTGATGAATTGGGTGGGGGTACTGCCGATGTCCAAAAACCAGCAGATAGCATATTAAACAAAGGCCCATTAGACAGACTAGGAATGAGAAGAATATAAAACTGGAAAGCACACAAGAGAAACAGCAATCCTAACAACACTTTAATGAACTGAGAGTAAATTTTCATCTGTCTTTTTGAGTGTTCTAGCTCAAATCCTTTTAAAGCTGCCCTTTCAAGACTTTAAAATTGAAGGTGGTACAAAACGTCTGCAATAACTGCTGGAAGCAAATTGTAAATGCGGTGATACAATTTAGACTTTTCTTTGTTAGTACACTATATTTCATTTCAAACCTTGGCTTAGGGGAATGTAAGGACAATATGGCATTATATTTGTTTGTTACTGCGCTCTCTAATGTTGCTGATAAGGTTGCCGCAGACCTTATTTTATTTAATGTTCCTGCTTCTTTAAAGTGCCATGGTAATTACATGGCTATTTATTTATTCTTAATTTCAGTGTTGACTGGCCTCTGCAATAGACAGGCCAAAAAACAGCCCATTTCACAGATCGTATCCATAACGGAGAATTACAGAAAACCACTTAGAAGGTAAATACTGCATCAGTGCACAATCTCTTCATTTACAAATGCTGCTCTTCAGCTAGGGATACCATGAACACAAGGAGGTAAGCAGTAATGCGCATTTGAAAACAAGTTTATTTCTATGGATGATTAATTTTAAAGTCAAACTGGCAACATCCACAAAACAGGTCCACAGCACTATCTGATTTGCCTCTAATTCAGTGCTGTTAGCCATTCGAAACATTTATAACACACTTGGATGCTTGTCATCCTGGTAACAGGCCCTTTCCCCGACTGAAACATACCATTTCTTCACAGACAGGTCATGCAGTGGAATGCTCCTCACAGCCGTCCCCAGTAACATGAGGGAGGAGGAAATCAGCAAGGACATCCGGAGGCCTGGGAAGACAAGACACAGACCCGTTTTGCTTTCGGTAAAAACTGTATATTACTGGCTCATCCCTTTGATCTAAATGAAGATCACGACCACATCATGACCAAAGCACCAGAACTATAAGACTGTCGTGTGCTGCCATGGTGCCTTGTGAAGTAAATGCGGACGATTTGGTCATTTAAGTGGTGTAAGAGAACCACATGCCACATCTACCCCTGGAAAGTAGAGAGGAAACCGGTCAACTCTGCTGGACTCACGGGGCTTAAAGAGAGACGACACCTGAACGAGAAGCCAGTCAGTCACGGAGTGCGTACGGGCAGGGCAACATGGAGGTGAACTCCGCACAGAAGGGACCCAGGCCAGACTCGCACCAGGAGCCCAGACGCCGTGAGGCAGCAGCGATGAAAACCACACAATCAGGTTGCTGACCCACGGGCGCATTATAAACTAATATTATTCAGTAGTTTCTAAATGGACCTAATAAAATAAAGGAAAGCGTGCTGACCTAAGGTTTAAGGTTTCCGGGTTTCTCGGCATGAATCTTAAGACGCATAAAAACATGGAAGAGGGTCATCACCTTTTAGGGATCTCAAGAAACAATCGGGTCCCGATGCAGTCAAACACAAGACTGATATTTACAACGACACTGATGCCGTGGAGGGAACCATGGCCGCTGGTGGTTAGCATCACTGCCTTGCAGCGCTAGGCCCCTAGGTTCAGTTCCCGGGGTACTGCAAGGAGCTTGTACAGTATGTTCTCCTCGTGTTTGCGCGGGCTTCCTCTTGGCGCTTCGGGTTCCTCCCATAGTGCAAAGACATTAAAGTAGGTTAAGTGGCTTCTGGGAAGTTTGGCCCTGGTGTGAGTATGCATGTGTCTAGTTTCTGTCTGTCCTGTGATGGACGGGCGTCCTGTCCAGTGTGTATCCTGCCTCATGCCCTTGGCCTGCCAGGATAGGGTCCAACTCCCCCACAACCCTGTATTGGATGAAGCAGTTAGAAAATGGATGGATGGATTTATGACATTTATGCAGATGGATTTGGATTATGGATTTATGCAGATTAACAACATTGCGTGAAAAGTACACAAATACACTACTTCTGTTGTCATTCTCATTCCAATATATATATACAAAACAACCACCGATACGCTAACATCAAGATTTAACAAGTAAAAGCCCATTTGTAGAGATTAGAAAAAAACTTAATACAACGCTTATTTCATGCTCTGCATATATTTCATTTAGTGTACTCTATGGCAAAGCACTTCTTTGCGTGAAGTTTCCCATTACAAAACGCTAAGGCTGAGTAGGTTCACTCTTCATGAAAACATACAAATTCCCTTTAGAAACACCTGGAGGGCTTTCTAAAGCTGCTCCATTTATGCAGCTCACAAAAGTAAATTATGTTTCTGCAGGTCTTATTTAAAAAAAAAATGGTTTACAAAACGTATAACAAATATTCCAGAAAGCATAAGCACATATAAAATACATATGTAGGAGGTTTTGCAAATCAAGTCACGAACATATACTTTGCAAAGACGTTCATCTTATGAAAATTAGCTAAAAATTATTCTGCCATGAATGAAAACCAAATTACCAGCAGACATGGGACAACTGAGACAGTACTGCTCTGCACACCAGCCTGAGGAAAATTCTCTATCATCATCTTTTTACCATCACAAAGCTCTGCAGATCAGGTGCTAAACTACTCAAATCTAACAGTTAACTCATTTTCCAATATCTCCTCATCACATTCATGAACAGGTCCTCCAGACACAACCATTAGGATATAAATCAAATATTTAAAAATAGGTTTAAATGAGATTTGAAAAATGTTAACAGCTGTAGAGTCTCTAATGGACATGGGCAGTGAGTTTGGGCACATGAGACGACAGTATCGCCCACTGTGTGGAGCCAGGCTTTCACAGGAGTCAACAGGCCAGAATCCGCAAATAAAGAACTGGACTTACACACGCAATATCCTTTAAATAACCTAGAGCTAGACCATTCAGCATCTTAATACACTTTAGATGAAATTGGTGATCTCAGTGCCCCTTACACCAACAGGCAAGAAGTACCTTTTTGCACAAAAATAAAAGGAGGAAAACCCCTCTTTAATTTGAAAAGAAAAATGGCAACTGAATAATAGAACTGCTGATGAGGTCTTTGTGAATACAGCTTCAGGGAATGTTTGTCATCTGTTTAAAAAGAAAATGCCAGTGAAATGTGTATTTTATTCAATTTTATTGCTGGTAATGAACAATCTAACATTTAAACATTTACTTCAGCTTGCATATTTGCATACTGACTCACAACAGAGGCTGCAATATAGGTAGTAAATGTTCTTTACCTAAATTCCAATGAAGTCTGTTAAATTCCAATTAAATTCCAAGAAAGCCTTTCCGTATGTGCACACACCACTAATCTACAGTGGATATGACAAGACAAAATAAGTCATTTATGTACTATAGTGCTGCTAATTCACAGCTAAATTAGCAGTATAGTGTGTGCAGGTTTGTGCCTCAATAACAATGAGTTCATTTCTTTCCTTACACAAACATACAAGCACAGAAATCACAACTCAGCACTCAAACTGGTTGATATTAAAAATGGCTCAACAACAACTGGCATATGCTCTAGAAGAGTATCAACTCGCATCCTAATCAAGTAGCTGAGATAATGAGGTTTGTGTCCAGGACATGTCAGAGGTCACAGCGTGCTTTGTTAGGGCTGTACTGGAACAAACATTTCGACCCCTCTGCCGGTCAAACATAGTTCCTGGGTGGGCACAGAACTGACACCACCCACAAGGGTCAACAATTTGAGACTGGTGGACATGATTCAAATGTGGGATTTGATTTCATCGATAGCCTCACTGTCTGGAAAAGTTTACTTGATTTTTAACAGGCTCTCCGAGCTTCCCTGGAGACTGGTTTTTGAAGGCGTGTTGCTGAGGTGGTCGGGTTGATTTCTCTTCCCCGTTCTCACCTTTCTCAGCCACGTCAGATTCAGGAAATCTACCAAAACTGAATTGCTTTTGAATTCATGAAAAGCTGCCTTGTGTAAACACTTTCTCCAGAAAGAGCTCATTAATCCACACTGCTTCTAACTTGTTTACATTTTGTCTGATGGATTACTTCTCACATGTGGGCCAAAATTAGGACACCACATTGTCCCAACTGCAAAAAAGCAAACTTTTAACAGAAGAAAAAAACTACAAACAAGAGGAGGCCGTATAGCCTCAATCTAGTCCGTTTGGAAGTAGGTAGATAATTGCTCCAGGATCTCGGCCAGCTGTTTCATGTAAGAATACAAGGTCATGGCTTCAAGAGAGTTGCTGGGTCCCTTGTTCTATACCTAACAAAGTGAAAGCAAGCCAGCCAGGAGCTGCTATAATGCAATGTTTTATAACAGTCCAGAAAGGTGCCATCCACCTGTGTACCTTACCTGGATTTCCATACTGGAGATATATTTCGATTTAATTCAGATTTGATTTAAAGGCGAACTGCTGTCCCAATTTATTATTAAATATGGGTTACAAAATTAAATAACTGGAGGTATCGCAAGTTTTTACAGACTCCGAATTAAGCACAAAATTGTGAGCTTTGTGAAAGTACTGTACGGTCGCTGTGTTGTCACACACCAAGGGTTTCACCACTGTCACTGTAAAAAGTGCTCATGTAAAAAAGTAAATAAGTACAGGGTGTGCAGCATACAGTTCACAGGAGAAATATTCCAACTTGATTTGCGTGCAGAGTTAACAAGCGAGGCGGATTTGTTGGCAAAACTGTCTCGAAGCCGAGGGCAATATTTCTATTGGATTAAAAGAGATGTAATCACAAGCCTGCTTGTTTACAATGTAATAGGGACGCTTCACCCACTGGAAGTTTCGTTGCCTCGTTCTGAACTGCAGACAATGACAGCAATTTGACGCTGTACATACCTGGAAATTTAGTCTATTATGTGATTGGAGGTTATACATGTTACTACGTACATTTTATTTTCATTGTGGCTTGAAATGCACTCATCAATGCCGATTCTAACCCAGAAATATAAAAATAGCATTGCAGTTCCCTTTTAACTTCATTTACTCTTCGACTTTAAATGACTGTGGCGGG